TTCGAAGTGAATTTGAAAAACTCATGAATTAAACTCAACTTTATTTTGTTCAATCTTGCATTTGCTGTAATAACCCAAATTGAGGAACATTTCCAATTGGTGAAGAGGACCGACACGAAATGGGAAACATCTGTGTATTAACACAGTACAGTATCTGAACCAGGAATCCAATCACCATCAATCCACTAAAAGAGGAATCATCAAGACTCTACTCTAGACCGTGCTTTCGGGTTCTGCAATACAAAGGTAGGTCTCGAAAAGGAACTAGGAAACATCATAAACGACCTTCAACAAAATGGTTACTCCAAAGTGATGGTAGAACAGGCTTTAGCAAGAGCTCCACAAGGAAGAGAGAAGAGGATTGTCGGAAAGGATAAGGATTGGGTCCAAGTATAACATCAGAACCTACTTCACATCTGGGAACACTATGCTCAGCAGCCTCACAAAAACCAGGCCACCAAATGCGGACTGCGATTCCAAGAGTTGCATTTACCGGATACCCTGCGAGTGCGGAGAATCATACATCGGTGAAACTGAGAGGCCATCGAAAGTTCGCATTGCCGAGCATAAGAAGCACACTCGGCGAAGAAAAACCAGTAAATCGGGAATAGTAGAGCACGTTTAGACCCATCAACATAACATCAAGTGGGCTCACGCTGAAATCATCCACAAGGAAGAACACTGGTTCAGGAGAAAATTCAAAGAAGCCGCATGTGTGCTGCCCAACAACGCATTTAGCCAAGCTAGCGTAGAGATACGCAACATATGGAAATCTCTAATCAAGCGGAACACGACAAACTCCAGCCAAACGGCCAGCTTCCGCTAAAATCGATGAAACGGAGAGGGGGAAGAGGGGATGTGTGAAAGCTCTCGAATGACCTATAAATAGTCAGATCTCGGAGAAATAACTCCAGTTATCATCCGAAGACGACTGTGGATACTAACAATCGAAACGTCGTGAAGTAACTTGGTTTGAAATCTTTTAATTTTCATCTCATGTTATCAAATTAATTTTTTTGATTTTTTGGTTGTTGCTTGCATTTTATTTCATTGTAATTGCTTGATATAATTGTTATTTTTCAGCTAATCTCTTTTTTAGTTTTTATAGATTCTTTCAGGTATTTCAAAGCAATGTATATCATAATAGACAATGGAAGTCCGAACTAATGAAATGCACCGCGAAACATTGTCAATTACCTTCAAACAATCGGGAAATATAACGAATTTATATTCAAATTCATTCAATCTTTCATGTATTACTGTCATTATTAATCCTTTAGTTTATCATCAAAATATTTATCATTTCCATAAAAGCAATATAATATTCATATTCATGACACTCACCCACTCTTCGATAAAATATTTTCAGCTTCTGTAGCCATATTCAAAGAATATTGGGTATGATTATACAAATCGTCTAACTTTTTGTAAAAGAAGTTCAAATCCTTTTCAATTTTTTGTGATTCATTCTGCAGATTTTCAACAGGACGTTTATATTCGGTAACATTTTTCCAGATTTCATTGACACTAATCATTGTTTTATCGGCGATGATTTCTCTGGGAGTTAAGTCATATTCATTCATGATGTCAAATATTGCTTGACCCTCTTTCAGAGCTTTATCGACTTCTTTTCCTGAAACAAATCATTTACATGAAGTATACATCAGGAAATAAGTACTCACATCCGCCCTAAATAAATGTTGAGTACAAATAATTGGAATGAAATTGTTGGAGGCAAAGTGTTTGCGTATGTCTCGTTTCCGCAACCAAAATCTAGCCAAATTACACTAAGCTACAAAGAAAACAATAGTATTTTCGTTTCTTACCTGCCTCGTGATGCAAATCTGTGAATATTTTCTCTATGTTCTCAGCTGTTCTAATAGCATCCTCTTCAACTTGAGAAATCTCGTCAAGCAGGATCTCAATTTTATCTTTTAACCTCTCAGACTGGTTTTTGAGAGACTCGCTATTTTCCAGAGAATAATTTGACTGAAAAAAATATTTAGTATGATAAGCTCAATTATTCTAGGTTACAAGATCCTTATTTTGGAACTTCTGTCCAAGGGCACCAAAAATTATGATCCAGGGCTCCAAGTTATAAACAATTTAGTAGAAAAAGGGGGGATTTGGTTTTTTGCAAATATCTCGGGAAATATTGAAAATATCCGAAATTTGAAAAAAGATTCTTAAAGGGGAGGAAATTTACTAAAAAAATTTTCACCTCCCGGAACTCTATCACCAATATTCATAATTTTGATTTAGAGGCGAAAATAGCGCTAAAAGCGTGCTGCACACGCTGAATAAAATAAAAATTATTTTAACCCATTGAATTATTATTGAGAAAAAAATTTACTTACCTTCTAGACACTTAAATAATCGAAAAATCAATGGAAAAAAATTCTGGTAATTATTCTATTAGATACACTTTAGTTACCTAACGAATTTTTAAAAGTTTTAAATTTACATAAAA